TGCCACGGGCTATCAGTGTGATAATGAAATACTCCTTGTATGCGTCCCAACAGGGGAGAATTGCAGTTCTGCTTTTTACTACTAGGTTGTTTGGTTTTTTTCCATGAAAAAAAGCAGAACCTCTATTTCCAATTTATATCTGGGCACCACATTAAGTAACTGGGTACTCTGCTTGAGTAGATCTTTAATTATTATGTCCAGGCAATTGTGTCTCTGCTATTATTTTAGAAAAACTTCTCCAGATTTTAAATGAAGACAGAAAAGGCCCGCACAGAACAATTACAATGGAAAATTTGTTTACAGTCTATTGCTAGAAGAGACATAATGCTTCCCTTTATCAACACTTGTCATAGCAGTGATGGCCTGTAAACCTCCTGCCCAAGCATTATTCTTTATTTGTCACTGCCTGTGGCAACTCTTGCCATGGCAGGTTCCTCGCACGTGTCAAACAAATGATTCATGTCTTCATTTGATCAACACTGTGAAGAAAAGAATGATGTGCTTTCTTGTAAATTACAAATTATACATTTACTCTCTGTATCTAGTGACAGGGTCTTTGGCTTCTTTTTACCCCAAGTGTACTGCTTATAGCTCACTGTAGAATTTACATACTGGCTTCTTTCTCTTGCCTAACTCTTAAAGTGAAATTTATGTAATATTACAGCACATCAATGAAACAATCTTACCTCCCTGTTTTATTGTCATAGCAAGCTGACTTGGACTGTTTCCTATGGTAATAAATGGGCAGAATGTGTTGTCCCCTGGACATGTAAAGGCCTTTTTATTACAGGTTGCTTTCTGGTTTACACACCACATTATAAATTCATTCAGTTTCTTTAGAATTAAGTTTTGCTGACATTGATTGATAAATGTTTACTTGGGCACTTGAGTTCATTTGCTTCTAAGTATATATATGTAATATATAGGTTTTGTGTGTGAGGTGCTTCTTCTGGAGATAATATTAGCAACACAATAATGGGGAACTGTAAGAAAATGCAGTTGTGCTGTAGGAAATTTAATATAATTTGAATTTTTCTTCCGTGAAGGAATTTTTTGGGAGTTCTGTGAAAAAGGGCAATTTCTTTATACATATTCAGGAAAAGACAATGTTAAAATAAGTGTTTGGTAGTAATCACAAACACCTAGATCATTTGTTGGTCAAAATTATTCCCATGCAGAGAATTCTAAAATCTTGTCTAATCTGTTTTAAGCAACACTTGAGCTGTGAGATTCCAAGGTATTGTCTTTGTCAGAGTATCTATGTCTTTGAGACCCCTAGCTCAAATGTGGGATCTTTTAAGTAGCCATCCTTTCAAGCCAGCTGCTGACCACAGGTTCTGGAGAGTTGGCATTTTGCTTTAAAGAGTCTCACCACTGTATTGAGTAATGCAGGAGTGGCTTTAATGAGTGGTTCAGTGTGAAAGATATGATTTTACTACTTATATAAATAGCAGACAATACTACAGTATTCTTTAAACTACTACCGTTCTGCTGTCTCTGTTGCTCTGGTTTTGTTTATGCTTTTAGAGATTGGTAAGGTTTGAAACAGATAATGCCACAAGACATTGCAGGAGAAAATATATAGAAAATATATAAGGTGGTTTTTTTCTCCTGTACTTCAAGATATTTTCATTCTCACAGCCCAATTGAAGTTGGTCATTGAACTTAAATACTTGTTGATGGTTTTGTAGTTATTGAGAGTTTTTCCCAAATAAATTCCCAAACTATCATCTTGGCCAAATCTCAAAACTAAAGATAAGGTAGTTACTTTTACTTGAATTTGTTGGACTGTGTCATGACGTATAGTTAGAATATTGCTAACATGTAGCTGATTTAACAAATCTAGATACCTTATATATCTCTCATAATCCATATATTTTGGTTTATATGTTGCCCTAATCTTTCTTGTGTCGCTGGTCTAACTAAGCTCTATAAAACTAAACACTTGCTACTTTTGTTTTCATCCTGATGACTTCCAGATGTCTATACAAGGATGTATTTAGAATTCTGTATGAAGAAGACATGCAAATATTGTTTGTATACTTCTGCTTTTTTGTGAGTTGTTCTTTGAGCAACCAGGAGATATAATAAAATTAGTCATGGGACTAACTGATTAGGAGAAAACACTTTTGGGGTATGTGATTCTGGCATCTAAAGGTGTACGGTTCTTCAGAAATTGGATGGCATGCTGCCTGAAAGGTGTGAAAAGCTCTGAGAGAGAGGGAGGAAGGTGGTATAGAGAACTCTTGTTTGTTTCACAGAATTTCAGGTATTATTCTGGTAAAAAAAAATAAAATAAATAAATAAATTGAGAGATTTCTTTTCCTGAGTTTACAAGGAACCTGAAGCAATAGAAGAACAGTATGAACTGCCACTGATTTCATTGAGTTCAAGCTCCAATACAACTAATAGTAATCAAATTATATTATTCAGCTCTTTTGTTATTTAACAGTTGATACAAGAACAGAGAAGAATGTATCATACTAAAATAGTTTGTATCATTTCTCTGAAGTGTTTTCCTGCAGAGGGAGGCACTCAGCTTTCAGAATGTGGTCATTGCAAGATTTGAAAGGAATGAAATTTAGTCCTTTGTATGAGACTGAATTTATTTGGCCCAAGACAAGTGATATCAATCAGGATGCATGAAGAAAACACATTTGTATTAGTTCATTTAAACACCAGTGGTGGCCATATTCAGACTCTCTATTGCAAGGGCCTTACCTTAGCCATTGTGACACATAACTAATGCAAGTCTAATTCAGGTGTGCCTTGAATTTTCGTAAAGGCAGTAGAGAGCCTACCGACACTATGAACAACTTTGGTTGTCCAAGTAAGGCTTCTGCTTCTCTCTGTCAGAGAATTTATGTGCTTCCTTGGTAGCTGCCTTCACATACAAAGAGGGAAACTGCCTAGAGCCGGCTCACAGGAAGTAAAAAAGCAATTGTATCTGATACTTAGCCAAATTCAGAGCTATGTATTAGGATCCTCTGATCAGCCAGCATCTCATCAGTGAACCCACCTCTGAGAGTGGGCAACTGAAGATGGGAGGATTTGCACTAAGCCAAGGTATTAAGTGCTTGATCACATAGATGGAGAGCTGTGTTCAGGTTGAGTAACCTGAATCTTCTTATTAGCTGTCTGTATAGTGTGCAGTAGTGTGGTCTTACTCTTGGTGCAGGGTTCATATGCCCTATTCAGAGGAAACAAACTTAAGACTTGTGGGTGGAAGAGGTCAGAGGGGAAAGGGTTAAATGACCTTAAAGAACTACAGGAAATCTTCACTGTCTGAGAACGAACAAAACTATCATACCTAACAGATTAGGTTTTATCTAATTTGGAAATATCTAATATCCTGTCACTTTGAAACTGTTTCATTTTTCATGGCTCTGTGATGATACAATTTTCAACATAGAAGAAAATCCAGATTGACAGCCCTAACAGACTTTCTTATATTACCTCCAAGGTCTTTGTATCCTTGTTTTTAAGGTCTATTTCCCTTCTTCTGTATTTCTGCGCTGTGGGAATAGCCTCAATGGAGCTCATAAAAACAGGAAAATAGTTCAATAAATATATGCTTTACACAGTCTTGCACATGGGCACAAAATGATGTAAGATTTTATTTAACCTCTGTCTAGTTGTGATACTGAATTGTGGCTGGAACTTTAACTGCGTGAAAGTGGCACACAGCCCTTGTCCCATGAATATGGTTGGTCATACAACGATCATCATTCAAAGACATAGTACATCTCTTACTGCAATTGCTGAGGGATTATGTTAATTCTTATTGAGTACATAAATAGAAAAATGGGATTTAAAAAAGGATAGGTCTTTTCCTGTTATTTCAGAGAATCATAGAATCATTTAGGCTAGAAAAGGTTTCCAAGATTCATAGAATAGAATCATAGAGTCATCAAGGTTGGAAGGGACCTCAAAGATCATCAGGTTCCAACCCCTCTGCCATGAGCAGGGAACTCAACAGTGCTGCTAAATGGTAGTCCATTTGGGTAGTCTGTAGCAAATTTCTTGCGATCTCTTATGAGGGAGTTCAAAGAATTAATAGCTGACATAAGAAGCAATCATAACCTGGCAAACCCATTTCAGTGAGATGTAGCTTGCAACCACTAGCATCACTACATGTGGGTTCTCACCAGTTTTAATTATTATGAACTAAGCTTCTTTTCTCCTTCTTTCCCTGCCAAATGGAATTATCAGATTTTTCCGAAGTAATGACTCTGACAAGCTAAGGAGGTGAATCAAAAGCTAAAGATATTTTTTCTGTTGTAGATGTATTTAGGAGAGAAAACTCTAGGGTGATTTTTCAAGTTGGTGGGTTGTTGGGATTTTTTTGAGACTGTGTGTTTCTAGAAAAAGATTTTGCAAAGGTGCAGTTTTGTGATACAGGTAAAGCCAGGTTGTGGAGAAAACAGAATCTATCAACTGCTCTCTATTTGAAGTTTAGTTTTGTTCAGAAGTTAGCTGTCCATTTGCTTAACACTGTTATTCAACTATTAAGATCTTTCTTTATGTCTGTTTCCCTTCCCATTACAAAAACAATCTCATCAGATAGTTTAACACTTACCTTTAAAAAATTGTTTTCTGTGCATATTTCTTCATCGTTACTTGATATAGAAAGCCCACTTGGAAAGCACTCTGTTTATAACACAACATGCCAGAATGTTTATCTGGCCTTGGGCTGCAGGAACCAGAGGATGGATGAATATCTTGCGGTAGTTTTGGCCATGATTATATTATGGATGGCAGGTTGCCAGTAGCAACTGCAATAAAAGGTCCGTAGTGTCAGTGTTTTCCTCTGTGTCATAAAACAGAGAACATTTGTGCTTTCCAAACGGTCTCGGGGACGATTTGCAGCAGATTTTGGAGGACTTACAGTGACAAGAGATGGACATAGATAAGCTGCTTGCAGGTTATATGCCAACCTGTCCTTCCGTTGGCTCCACCAGGCCTAGCACCACTGACACTTTTTTTGCCCTTCTTTCTAGAACATTTAAAAGAGAAGCTGGAGGAATACATGGTCCGTTTTGCCAAAGTGAGGATTGTGCGTACCAAGAAACGCGAAGGGCTCATTCGAACCAGACTGCTAGGAGCCTCGCTGGCTAGAGGAGAAGTCTTGACATTTCTGGATTCCCATTGCGAAGTCAACGTGAATTGGCTGCCTCCCTTGCTTAGTAAGTGTATAAGCCTTCATCAGCCATTAAAATCAGAGCATACAGAGTAGCTTAAGCAGTCGAAGCAATGTCCCACCATGAGCAGGACATAGACTGTATGGAAGTGTTTGGGGCTCTCCTGCAGTGTCTGAAGAGCCAGTGTGAGAGAGGTCTCAGAGCAATTAAGCAGCTCTATTTTGTGGGTTTTGTGACTAAAGAATGGGTGAAGTATCACTTTTGCCTATGATAGTTACAATTTATTTTATTATTACTACCACTAAATTACTAAATCTAGTATCATGCTATGTCCTTACTATATAACTGGAAACTTGTTATGCTTCCTAGTTCTCCTAGTTCCTAGTACTCCTTCCTCGTCCTCCACATTCCATTAAGATAGATTTTGCTGTAAATGTGTCCAAGACCAGTAACAACTGCATTCACATTTGGAAGCTCAGAAAGAATGATTTGCTATTGACTGCTTTGCTGGATTCCAGCTGCAGCTGGCAAAGCTCCATTAGTCAAAGGAATGGAAAAAATCAATTGTTGTAGTCTAGGATTTAACTGCAGGAAACAATGTTCCCTTTCCTACTAGACTACATGCAAAGTATATGTGGTTTGCAAAGTGAATGTTTTTTTGCTAGCAAAAACAAAGAACATTACTGAGTTAACTATTAATTTGTATTAATTAAAAGCATATGTCATAAGTATGTGCCAGGATAGGGTTTCACCAATTAATGGTTATTGTTTCCTGAATTTTGTTGCTAGAACTAGTTAGGCCACACAATAAGCTGATAAAGGATTTGCAGCAAGCAGAGATGCTGTTTTGCTAATGAACTATCAGTCAAGACTGATAGTTGAGATCAGTCGAGATCATTCCTTTCAAATACTAGTAACTACTTTCTCGTAAGATCAGTGATACGATAATGTGCAGAATTCCAAATTTACATCCTTTCTCGCTTCCATATCAAACTACACACACAGTCTTATCCCTGTGTTACCATTTTGCCCTTTATCACAACATCAGCATTTTTTAAAATAACCTCTGTGTCTTCATGTAAAGCCTGAACAGCATAAAAGAGCAGAGGGAAATACAAGTTTCAGCAAGCCTTCCACAAGCAGCCCTGTCAAATAGCCATAAACACTCTGGCTTATTCTACAGCCACCTTTTGTCTGCTTTCTGATTTTGCCCCACCGTCCATCATACATTGCCACTAATGAAAAATCTCAAGAAGATTCTCACTCTTGTCCTGTGAAATCTTTTGCTAAGTTACTGTAGATGGGATGTAGCTCTTCTATTTTGCTAACTTAGACATGGGAATATTGCAAGTTGCAAAAGCAGTTCCTTTTCTTTCTTTCTTGTCTGAAATGAAGATACATCTAGCTGGGTTTCACCCTATAAAAGCTAAGAAATAAATGGAATGGTTACAAAGGATTCATAAGTGCAGTTAGGTTGCAGTGGGAACTGAGCTGGTGATAACAACCCTCAGCCTCAAGCCAGCAAACTGGATAGACAAGAGAAGTTTCATCAGGGACCAAGTCCCAGCTCTTCTTAGTTCTTGAGTGGAATGCGATCTTTCTTGTTCCACATGTAGTAGAAATACGCTTAGCTAACCAGCCAGAGGATCTAGAAATTAATCTTTGGGAGCACTGGAGCTCAGGATCAATAGACTTTATTATGAAAGAAAAAGTAGAGCATTACATGAAGAAGGACAAATGGAGAATGAATACATAGCAGTATATGTAAGGATGTCCTGAGACCTCTTTTCCAAAAGGGATGAGAGAACTGTCTTATGACCGTTAGGTGGCAAATATTTGCTATACTGAAATCAGATGACACCTAGCTGCTAATAATAGTAAAGTTAATATGTTTTTTCAAAGTATTATCTCAAGATATATCTTTTGCTTCACTCAACACTGCATTTGACTGAATGTCATTCAAGGAGACCAAAACAGAGGATATATTGGGTATTTATTGCTTTGAAGCTGCCCTACTTTAGCTCTGATTGTATATGCCATGTGTAATGAAAAGTCCTGAAAAAGAGCCCAGTTCAGCCCAGCTCTGGAGTGCAGACTGCCAGTCTTCGCTGAGAGGGGCAGTGTTTTCTATTCTTCCAAATCAAGTCATTTTTTCAAAATGAGACCTTGCAAATTGAGGGGGGAAGAGGGGGAAGCAGGGGAAGCAAGAGCAATCACTTAGAGATGGTTCTCAAAGTTATTTAGGCATCTAACTTGTATTTTCAAAACTCACTTTTTAGATCAAAGAAAGACTTTCAGTACTTGTTAGGTACCTAAGTAGCTTTCTGGAGCTCAGCCATAGTTGTTTTCAGTTACAGTCTTCTTTTTTTTTGTCTTTTTTTTTTTTTTTTTTAAAAAAGGTGCAAAATGGCTTTCTTTTTTTTCTTTAAGCTTTATTTAGTTTATTTATTTAGCCTAAATGGGTTTTCAAACTGAGATAAACCACTCAGATTTCAGTGTTTTGCTAGATGTTCACTGAGCAGGCAGCTGTAGTCATGTAAAAATATTGGCAAACAGAGCTGTTTGTCACTCTTCAGTAGTATAAAATCAGCAGAAGGAAAGTTGCAACTTGGACTCCAGCTGCTTGCATAAAGAGTCTAGTGGGAAGATGTAGGTATTGCAGGTTTAAGGTAAGGAACTGAGCAGCAAACCAGCTTGAAAGATGCAGCCACATCTTTCCTTCTGCTGCTGTTGTTGTGGAAGTAAGGAAGATGGACAATAGATTATTAGTGTCATAGGCTACCAGAACTAGGTTTTCAAAACAGATTTTGTTCCTGGCCAAGACTTAAGTTGATATCATGATTAGATCATGCTTAGCAAGTTATCAAGACACCTGCTAGCTATAGCTGTCTCTCTCCACAACATGTCTATAATACATTACTTGCCAGTGGAGAAGTCTGACAATACAAGTACTAAAACCAACTCAGATAACAAGACATAATTTGCTGAGCCACTCAAATGTTGTCAGCATCTGTAATCTTAGTAGGATGATAAGAGTATTTTCAATGTGGCATTGTTACTTTAACCAGGCCAATTTGAAACAAGCACTTGAAGTTACTGGGGTGCATCTATCTTATAAAGATAAAACCTATCTTTTTAGAGTGGCTTATCCAATATTGAAAATTTCTGTTTCTTGCCACAAATGCACGCTGCTTGATACTAAAAGTGCTGACTTCAAACGTGTGTAAATACTGCTTAAAATTGCTACGGAGGAAGCTCTGGGTGATCTCATGCTTTCTCTCAAATCTGCAAAATTTTTACATGTAGAATTATGTTTATCTATCTGTTCTTCCCTTTATCTGCAGCATATATGCAGTGCAGTAATAGATGCAAGTTTTCAGACCAGTAGGAATTTGTGAGAGAATGATCAGTAAAGGCAATAGAAATGAAACTGTAAATCATTTCAACTGTGACTTTCAGGCTCTTGCATTAGGAGCAGGTGTGATGAAGAACACTGGCTGGCAAAGCAGCAGCATGTTCACATCTGTAAAGCTACAATACTAGCACTATGGTGAAATGTAAGATAGCCCTACAGCCCTTTTTTCTCTTTCTTAATTTTTTATTGGGCTGCAGTCAAGCCTAAGAAGTATGCATGCAAAATTCATTATTTAGGGCATACTGAAAGAAATACTGAGGCTGTGAGTTTGATTGCTTTTTGGTGTGCATAATCACAAACACACTAGTTTCTTCAGAAGTCATGACCTTCCTGTTGTTTCTAATAATCTCTAAAACATTTTTGGGACTGAGAAGTAGGTTCTGTAGATATGCACAGGAACAGACCGGTAAGCATCTTCTTACTTGCAAAATTGTTGCAGAGTTGTAAAAATTAAATCTGAGATTGAGTTTGAGCATTGCTGTTTTTTTTCCCCTGCCTATCTCTGCATGTGGCTCAGATGTTTCCAATTCTTCAGTCTATTTAAAGGCAGAAGCTTTTAAAGATCAGGAAAAGGATGCTAATGTATTATGAGTTTACCTTTGACCTGCTCCAGCCAAATCAATCCCATTTAGTTTCTCTCCTCCAATCAATTTAGAAGGGTGGTGGATCAGAGATAGATTATTATAAGCCCTTTAACTGTTAGCAGGGCCATCACAGGGAAGAGATTATGTAAAAATGACTTTACATAATGATTACAGATAATACAACACAATATACCAGTGAATGTAATTATATTTGGCAATAGCAAGAGTAATGCAGCTATTATGTCTGAGATGAGTTTCCTAGAATTTTCAAGAGCCTGTGCTTTAAATTTATTTCACTATTAAAAAATAAGGATGTAAAAGCCTGCTGCACTTCCAGACACAGTAATTTCTCACTAGCAGTCATCATTGTTCCCCCATTTGGACAGTCTCTAAACAACTAAACAACTGAGAATAAATATGAAAACTACAGATATTTTGCTAAAATAATATTTTTTCTTAGTTTCAGTCCTTCAGAAGCAAGGAGCAGGATCTGTATTATTAATCATTGCACCAGTATTACCTGCCTTCCTATTGAAGTGTTCATTCCACACTCAACCCTCTGATTTTTTTAGGGTATTATAACACACAAGTGAAACCTAATTCTCAAAAGCAAAAAGCAAGTTTTCTACATAGGCCCTACAATTACATTTTGTAAATAATCTAGTCTACCGTTTGAAGTAAAAGTTTTATAATGCTTGTAATTCTTGAAGATTTTGGTTTTTCATGGGTCTGTAGATAGTTTTGGTCCTTTTGTGCCAACACAGCTACAAATTTTCCTGTATTTCCTCTTTTCAAACCATTATTCTTCTGCCTAGTTCTTGCATTTGGAATATCTTCTTTCTTTTCTGAGGAGCTCTCTGAGATTAGGTAATAGCAGCAAAGCAGTAATCTGCACCAAAGCAGACTCAGGCCTACCCTGCCCTTTTACTAGAGATGGGAATTTGATTAAGCCTCACATTTATATATATATATTTTAAAAAAAAAAAAAAAGGCAAAAAGAAACTAATTTATTTAGAAAACAGGTTTGAATAATACTGTGTGGCCTTCTTTACATCTCAAAGATCAGTACAAAAAAAGAACACAAGCCCTGTTTTGTTCTTCATGCTAGAATTTGCCTTTAATTGAAGCATTTGATCTCAAAGCTGATGCACACTAGAGCCACAGGAACAGTGGCTGAATGGTTCCAAGAGCTGAGATTCACATTTAGGAGCACAAATCTCTCTCGCAGGAGATCGCCATACACACTCCCCACAGCTGAAGAAGTACTTTTACATTTTGCTTGCTGGCTTATTCTGTAGCTGACAGATTGGGGACAGCTCAGAGTAGAAAAGTGACAGAGATACAGATGACTGGACTCCTGTGGGTCTCACAGGGATATGCTTCCCTTTAAAGAACTGTAAATACTTCTAATCATTGCCCAACATCATTAAGTACACTTTAGATAAAGGTTTGGTACAGATTTGAAAAAGGAAATTATTTGGGGGCTGCAGGGAACAAAGCAAGCAATCTTCAAACATCAGAAAACCTGTGGGATTCACTTTGCCATGATATGATAAATGGCTTGACTAGATATGCCGCTTCCTATTTTCTACTTTCATTTTTCAGACCAGATTGCACTAAACCACAAAACCATCGTGTGTCCTATGATCGATGTCATTGACCACAATCACTTTGGCTACGAGGCACAGGCGGGGGATGCCATGCGAGGAGCTTTTGACTGGGAAATGTACTACAAAAGAATACCGATTCCTCCAGAGCTCCAGAGAGCTGATCCCAGCGACCCCTTTGAGTAAGTAGTGATAAAGGGGAGAGTGGGAATATGAAGTAGAACAAGCAAAGTCGGTAACTGTAGCAGAGGAACCCGAGCCCTGAAATACCATGTAGGCCTCTTAGTACTAATGAAAGGCAGTAGAAGTAAATAGCTTTTATATAGGTATATAAAAATCTCAAAACTAGCAAAACGTCCAGGGCAACAAGTTGCAGGATTCTCAAACAGTGTCTGGAAACACAGACCTTCCCCATCTTTTCTGGCCCAGTGGTTATATGTAAAACGAACAGGCACATATTGGTAGTTAAGAGAAGGTATTGACATTGGACAAAGAGTGAATGTGTCTGCAGTCACTCTGTTTATTCCATAGAGCACTTCCTGAATAAACTTCAGTTTAATGTTTTTTTTGCTGGAGATGGATGCAATACATAAATCAAAAGCTGAGTCCACATTCTTCCAGCAGATGCTTAGTTTGACTGTTGATATTGCTACCATATAGGTATTGCTGGAACTTGAACAGAGGGCTATCAAACCTGAACAGTCAAGTTCATTTGTAGGTAAAATTTTATAAGCCCAGCTCCATTCTTAGTATTGTTTAGATCAGCTCATTTGTAAGAATCATCTACTTTTCACAAAGGTAGATCCTTCTTTTCTTTTAATTATTGTTATGTAAGGATCAGCAGGATTAATCTGCATCAGCAGAGCGAGGACAGACAAACATGGTTCAGTGTGGCAAAATCTCCAGGTCTCTCACACAGCGCGTGTCCCATCAGGGCTAGAAGCAGGGCTGGCTTGGATTCTGTAGCTCAGTAGCTCTGGCAGAAACTCTGTGCTGCAGGTTTTGTCAGTTAAGAAAGGCAGCATTTCCCCCTCCCAAAAAAATATCTGGAAACAATAGCAACAGTAAACCTGTGTCTCTGTCCCAGACTTTGCACTATTTGGAAGTAACAGATCTGATTCATGTAGAAATTGACCCTATATCCAGGGAATACTAGCTCTTGGTAGGGAAAAGTAGGTGATTGCGGGACTTAGTGGGCTTATTTTCGTCATTCTGCTTTTCCTTTTTAGTTATCTCCATCTAGGCCCATCAGTCTTCATCTTTCATTTATGTAAGTGCTGATGAAGTATTTTCCATCAGCTTCCATTGTGACTGCTGCACAACATAGATGCAGCTAGTGCAGTCATGTAACCCTCCGAAGTTGCTAGAGTCTCCATTGCTCTTCCACAAGTTTTCCTGGTCCTCTGAGCAGTTGTAATTTCTCAACACTTACTGAAAGTCACTTAGCACTTCTTATAATTTTGTTCAGCTTTCCAAGTTTGTGTATAGATAAAATGTCTACAATGCCAGGGTATACAAGTGTTTTAAATAATGTGTGTTAGTTTTGCTTACGGAAGGGATTCTTTTCTAATTCAAAGTCAGTACTGCTTTTCTCCTAGGGCCATGTTGGCACCTGAAGTTTTTAATGCCTTGCTTAGAACAACGACAGTAAACATTACAAAAAATTTTAGATATCAATAACTTAATTGACCAAGACAGCTTTTATAGAATTAAAGAGACAGAAGAATTTATCTTTAAGTGCATATATACTAAAATTAGAAATTACTTCAGCCAGCACCATAATTATTATATTACAATTTGTAAGCAGTAGGGATTTTTTAATTATTATTATTTAAGTTAAATATTTTACTATTGGTATCCCAATAGCTTTATTTCTTGCCGGCAACATCTGATCTGGGCTGATCCTTAAGGAACTGGAAAACTGCCAGCATTTTTAGTAAAATACTACTAAATACGTGATCCAAAACACCAAAGTATGTGATCCAAAAATTACACTGATGAGTTTTTCCCCTCACTTAAAATGCCAGCTCAGTATGTGTGTTAAGCAGAAAAGGTCACATCAGCTTAAGATATAATGTACATAAAACCAGATCAAACTACAGAAGACCCAGGAGCAGTCATTGTATTATCTGAATGATATGTTTGCTTTCCATCTATGCATGATCACAATACTCCTGCCACAGATGTGAGCAGAGTGTTTGCAGTTGACACAAAAAAACTGAAGTGTTGTCAGGTAGGCTTTTGGTGTGATAGTAACATGGAACTTACTGAGCTCCAGAGCTAGTGTTTCTGTAATTCATTCACACACACACTTTTTTCTTTTTCTTTTTTTAACTTACTCCACTATGTTTGGTGTTTGACAGGTGCTCTCCTGTTGGAGGCTATCTATCTGGACAGTCTTTCAGTTCAGAATCCCTCTTGTGAAGAATCTAAACATTCTCATCCATTTGTGGTATGAGCGTGGGCTGGTCTGTGGTTCATGTACCTGCGGTGCCACTCAGGCAGCATCTCCACCCTTTGCTGTGACAGAACTTGGTGCTTCATTCCAGATCTCATCTTTTCCTGATGTACACTGACACCTGTTCCCAAACCCTCTAGTTGTTCACAAGTAGCTTTATACCAATATTTGGCTTGAAGTTTACATATTTAGGACTGTATAGTGCTCCAGCCTCCCACCTGCTCCATGTCATACTCACATATATATATAGATGAGGTAGTAACACCAACCTGGGAGTCAGATGACCAATTTATAACTGCATTTGTATCAGGCTGCACTTATCTACAAAGTGTATCATTTTAGTTCACATGTAGTTTGTCACTGGCCAGGCCAAGTTTTCCATAGGTTTCATTGAACCGTACTGCAGCCATATAAAATGTATTTTCAATCAAAGCTTCTGTGTGAATTATTGGATATTGCTGTGTGCTACCAAGCTGGTGAAGGGTGTAGAGAACAAGATACGAGGAGCGGCTGAGGGAACTGGGGATGTTTAGTTTGGAGAAGAGGGGGCTGAGGGGAGACTTTATCACCCTCTACAACTATCTGAAAGAAGGTTGTAGGGAGGCAGATGTTGTTTGCCTCTTCTCCCAAGTAAATAATGACAGGACTAGAGGAAATGGCCTGAAGTTGCAGCAGGGGAGGTTCAGGTTCTATATGAGGAAGAATTTATTTATTGAAAGAGTGGTCAGGCACTAGAACAGCCTGCCCAGGAAGGTGGTTGAGTTGCCATCCTTGGAGGTATTCAAGAAACATGTTGATGTGGTACTTCAGGGCATTCTCTACTGGCTGAGATTGTAGGGTTGTGGGGTTTTTGTGGGTGTTTTTTGGTGGAGTGTGTGTGGTTGGTTGTGTTTATTAGGGTTGGGTTTTCTTGTGTTGATGGTTGGACTCTGATCTCAGAGGTCCTTTCCAGCCATGACAATTCTGTGATTCTGTGACATAAGGGTTTGGGACAGGAGCCTGCTGTTGTGTGGCTGTTTTTTCTTGATGGTGCAAGCACTTTATTCTCTGGAGGAGTTTGCCCAACCCAAGTGATTGCAGCTTAAACTAATAGGGTAGCCTTGTTACTATAATGGACTGTGATATGCAGCATGTCAGTTCATATGATTAAATAGCCTGTTGGAGCTAAAACCTCTATGAAACTTTAAAGCAGAGGTTTGAAATGCTCAAGCCTACTCAGGATGACTGCTCTTTGTTTTCTGGCAGCATGTACATTACATCAATTCATGTTATCACATGCCCGATCTTACAACAGGCATTGGTGTCCATTCATGCCAGCAGAAATTTATTTCTAAACAGACAGGAAAGCAACAACAATTAAACCCAAAAACTATTTGGAAAAACCTCAAATTAATTAAGAGGTTTAACGTAACACAGATAAATTAGATTAGGAAAGGGCTGCACAGCTCCTCAGAGCAGTTCATGGTGGTGTAACTTTGTGATACGGGAGGGAAAGGTGCAGGTGAGAACTAACAGCATCAATAATGAATTGCAACTCAAGATAGAAATCCTCTCTGATGACAGCAGTGTTGTGCTACTTACTGGATGCCAAGACTTCTAGCACCTATCTGGGAAAGTCAGTAGTTTTTTCGTGTGTGATCGCATCTTACTCTCCTAGGGTTCCTTGTCTGCCTTCTGATACAGAGCTGTCCTCTCCAGACCTCCCTGAAAGGAAACAAAGCTGAAGAACCATGTAATTCTGGCAAAGGACCAGAACAGCAGTTTGGTAAATGCTGGGCTAACCAAGGAAGAAGCAGCAACTTTCTAACCTCTGACAAGGCATTTTAGTTCCTGTACTCAGCTGCCTATGTATAAAATGGGAACAGTATCACCCTGCCATTTCAAGGCTATTTTGGGTATGGATCTTACAAAGGTTGTGGCATTGTGGTCTCACAGTAATAGGGACCGCTTCAGGTTTCTGGATGACTTTTTGGTAAAATTTTGGATGTGCTCAAGGAATGAAATTAGTTAAGCAGTAAATTTTTCTCTTCCTTTGCGTCACAGTCTCCTAAACATGGATGTAATGTATGACCTTAATGTAGCCAGTTGTGTGTTAGATTGGAAGATTATACAGCATTTTCTGTTGAATTGCATTACCTAAATCATACTATTACTATGCAAGCTGTTGTCAGTGTTCTTCTTTACATAAATCTGACGTATTCTCAGAAATACTCTAATTTTCTGCAGCCCCTTACATTCAGTATTTATAGGTACTTTTTACAACATGTTGGTGCAAAGAAAGTCATTGCTAAGACTGCATTTCATATCTGAAGAGTACTTTCACAATTTTATGGTAATTTTCTGAAGTTTAGAAAGTGCTTTGGACAATGATTTCTATTCTATAGCTCCCAGTGCTTTTTAGTGTATGTCTTTTATGGCTGATTTCTGCCTATAAACATATTCATAAAACCTCTCACAACCAGAAACAATAATCTATTTTGTTTAAAGCCTGAGTATAATCTACTGTTTTGAACTGTGCTACAGGAATGTTTGATGCAAAGGCATTATTCTGCAGAGAAGCAGTCTCCAACCAGTGTGAATTTGTGTAATTTGAAGTTTTGATTTATTGTTTTGCTAAGCTATGGGCTGTAGAAAACTGCTACTGAAGATAACAGTAGTGGAGTTAACAATAACTTTTACAAACTGCCATCCATCCATCCATGGCACCATGAAAATATCAGAATT